GCTCTGCCCCGGGCCCGGGCCCGCACCGCCCGCCTCGGGGAAGCGCCCGCACACCGCCTGCCCGAGCAAACGGGCCCCAGCCTGCCGCTCGTTGAAGGCAATCTGTGTGCTCCAAACGCGAAGGAGGCAGAGTTCGCCCGGGTCGCGAGGGCTGTTCTTTTGTTTGCACGGAAAGCGAAATTCGCTTTGCTGGTGCTCTGCTGGCCGAGAGAGCCAGGCCGCAGGCAGAGAGCAAAACTTACCGAAAGGGCACGTGCACAGGAGGGACTGAAATTAATACCTCAGAATTCAGAGAAGGGCTCTCCTGCCCCAGAATTTAAATACATGAGCATGCAGCAGAGCAACAATGTACCTACAGCGTGATTTCTTTAGATAGCACGATACAGCTGAGTCTTAACAGCAAAAAGGAGCCTTAAACAGGAACACTCGTGTCTCCTTTTCCCAAAATAATAATAATAAAAAAAAAAGTATTCCAGAATGGAAATCGCTTTATCACAGAGCGTTGCTGCTACTTGGTGCAGGCCCTCCCTGTGTTTAAAATGCTGCAGAGCAAAACTAAAAATATCCAGGTCACCCCAGCCCCTGAGATCTGCAATCCCCCCCCGGCCCCCACCTTTCGGCCTGCTCGGGCTGTTACACAAAAACTGACTTCCTCAGGAGCGGCTGTAGCTGCAGTTTCCTGGCCGTTAACCCTGTAGCACTTGGTGCTTTTTAAGATGCAGCGCAGGCCCTGGAAGCACACATCTCTCTCTACGTGGCAAAGTTATCAGTCTGCCCCCACAAAAGCATTCACGTAGCTTTTCAGATGTTTTTGCTTTACCTTTTTGTCTCCTGCTAAAATGCTGCAAATGAAACAAAATGAGAAAACGGTGTGTAAGCAACCGGTTTGATCTTGGGCCAATTCCCAAGCTTTTGATTAAAAAATGTGATTCCGTTCTTTTCCCTAATGCAGTGAAAGTGGGAGGATTTATCGTTCTGCCAAGAAGGAAGTCTTAACTCCAGATGAAGATCTTAAAGGTTAAATTTTTAGAAAGCCTCCAGCAAGCCTTTATATTATGGTTCAAAATTTTGCATCTGTGTTACATAGCTCTGTATTATCATTCTGTAGCCATGAAGATTGTAATGGAAATTGCAGATGAAAGGGTGATTCTGAAGCATATTGAATATCAAATAATTATTTATTAAACAAAAGCAAAAAGAAAACAACAAGGGAAGATGTAGAGGGAGACATTGACATTGAAACAATAATTATTAAATAATGAGCTAGAATAACCAAAGGAAAATAAACATTCTTCCAGTACAACATGCAGGATCTCAGATGGTACAAAAACAACTGTAAAAAGCCCTCTTCCATAAATCTACGACAGTTGCAAACAGAATATGCACGTCACGTTTAGTCGAGTGCTAATAATC